TGCAGCTTTTATTGACTTTCAATACATACATATGTACATACAAAATGTGTGTGTAAGAATGTAGGCGTATAAATTTTATAACATTTATTATAAAATAATGATTTGCCGCTTTTAAAGTGAGCATACCAAAAAAATTTTGAAATTTTGTGCTTTGCACCTTTTTAAGCAAAAGAAAATGTCAGCATTGATAAATAACTGCACAAAGGTGAAGGTTGTGTTTTGTAGCAAACAAGATTAAATTTGAAACATATTTAATTAGTGTAAATTCATTTTTGCGATTTAAAAAGTGAAAGCTTTGGAATGTAAGAAAGTGATGGTTTGTTATTTTAAAGGATTTTTTCGATTTACTTTATAAAATTTCTTATTTGCTCTGTCGTTTGTGGGTAGACAAAAAATTAATTAGAATTGATTTAAGTCAATAGCTGTTGTTTATAGTCACATAATGTGAAAGCACCCAGTGAAGCTTTCATCAAAATATTTTCCTTTGTTTTCGGCGCCGTGTTATTTGTAATTTCTCGGTAATAAAAATATGTCCACTCAAGTGCAGTAATCAACGCATTATTCATTACAAATTCAGTGAAATAAATATTCTTGGTATTCTTACACAGTTGCTCTAGAAAGATCCGTGAGCAGCAGCGCCAAACTCATTAAACGCACAGTGACATTCGAAAACTCTTCCATGATTGTGTATTTATTTGAATGAATCATGAAAATAGGCGTATATATATATATATATATATATATATATATATATATATATATATGTATGTACATAAATGCAATATGAATTGGAAATGACATTCGCGACGCTACACCGACAATAATGTCTGCAAATAATAATTGTAAATTAATAACAATATATATAAATGTATGTACTATTATATATATTTACGGTATCTATGGTTTTAACACTGAAGCTGATGTGAAAAAATAGCTTACGAGCGTGTAATTATCATGTAGTTGAACTTTCACTTTTGAGTATTAAAAAAATTGCATAAATTTGAAAGTTCTTAACAAAAAGTCAATGCTTCCAGTAATTTCAGCAGAAATTCATGCATAGAAATAATTTTTTAGTCTTATCTAAATGTGCTTAGAGTATTAATAGAAATGTATAATTTTTAAAATTTATATATATTATGTTGATGTTTTAATCTCTTTGTCTAATATATTTAATTTTGCTGTATTTAATTTTATTTTAGTTTATTTTATTTTATTTTATGTAATTTTTTTTAATTTTATTTTATTTTATTTTATTTTATTTTATTTTATTTTATTTTATTTTATTTTATTTTATTTTATTTTATTTTATTTTATTTTATTTTATTTTATTTTTTTTTAATTTATTTTATTTTATTTTATTTTTTTTTATTTTATTTTATTTTTTTTTTATTTTATTTTTTATGTATATATATATTTACTCCTTCATATTTTTAATTTCTTAAATCCAGTCCATTTATTGACTACCAAACAGCAATCTCACTTCAATCGGTATTGTTGTAGATAATGATAATTATTTCTTGCTATTATTTTTTGTCCGCCTTATCACAATTCGCCAAATATTTTTGCCCCCGTGTGTATTTAGGTAGCAAATAAGTATTTGTTATTTCGGTCTTATCACACCCTATCTCTTTCACACATTGTTTTGGCGATTTGGTTCAACAAAGGTTGTTTTCTGATTAAATCTCCACATTGTGACTTTATCAGCTTAGCGACGGGAGCAATTTGAATTCTGTTTTGAATGTAAAGTTTTCACAGAATCTCAATATTGCTGATCGGCATCGGACGCAAAGCTGTTTAGGCAGGATTTTAAAGCTTGAAATTATTTGCAAGTGCTTATCCGCTCACGCGAGCTTAGATTTAGTAAGATTCCAACCGGTTGAAAGCGGCTCATGCAGGTTTTATTACGTGTGTTTAGTTATGTGGGAAGATCACGTGTTGTTTAATAAAAAATAAATTTTAAAATTGATTTTGGGTCAAAGAATGTTTGAAAAGATTTAAATATAGTGTTGAATTCAAAGAAAGGAGTTTTTTGAAACTATGTTTTCCCGTTAAAATAGCAATTGCTCCATATAAGAATTTTTATAAATAATAATAATATGTTGCAATCATTAAAACATAAGCTGAAGTAATCATTGTATGTAGTGGTATATCCCATTAAAATTGGTTTTATATTTATTTTTTTTAATTTCATTTTATTTTTTTTCTCGATCTGATTCTTCGCCCTTTACCATGTTGAAATGTCATTTAAACATAAGTTTTAACCATAACACCGTTAAAAAAATCCTTAATTAAAAAAAAATTATAACAAATTAAAAATAACTATTATGATAAAATCGTAAACAATAATAACATCAAAAATAAAAGCAAAAAATAATAAAAAAATAAGTCATACAAATAAGTTAAGTGCAAATAAAACTAAAACCTAAAAATAAGAAAGAAGTATAAATATTAAAATATTACAAAAACAACTTTTACAGATAAAAAATATATTAAAAAACTAAATTGAAATTAAAAAAGAAATAAAAAAGGAATCAGTATAAGTAAGAATTTTAATTTATATTTTGGAGAGAGGAAAAGAAGAATTACAACAAATTAAATGAATGAACATCAAATTAAATAAGAAAAATTTAATAAAAAATTACCAAAAAAAAAATAAGAACTAAAACGAAAGCAAAAATAAAAGAAAATTATATATAGTTGTATAAACTAATAAAAACTAAGACTAAAAGAAAGAAAAAATAAAATTTAATATTAAAACAAAACCATACAAATAATGATCTTCAGTTTGTAAGCGAAGGGAGTATTTTTATATTAATAAAAGTAAGCAACAGGCGAAAATAAAATAAAAAACAAGAAAATTAAATAAAATAAAAATCACAGATTTTTCGCTTTTTTGCCTTAATTATGATCTTTAATATGATTTTTTTTTTTTGAAATTTCTAATGGTTCAATTCATCAGAAGTACTTTTGGATTAAATTTCTTGTAACAAGATAATATTTATATCGCGAACATGCAAACAACAACAAACTCATATCATTCAGGTATACCACTCGTATAAGATTTCAAATGTATTTTAGACCTGCTCCAATGTTTCATTTATAACAAATTTGCTATTCCTTTCAAAGTTAATCTTCAAATGTGAAATAACAGTTGATTTTTTGCAACCGCCCGCGTTAAGCAAAACTTTTTTTTGGGAAAGGTCATAGAAAATATTGACAGGCAGACAGCGTTTGCCAACCTTATTCTTACGACGATACATTAAAGCATCTTCAACAATTGTTGAAATTTATTGAGCTGACTGGCAGGTCAACTCAGTCACTCCCGAATCTGAGTTTCCGGCTATTGGATTATTCTCGGTATCGAAAAAGCTGGCAAGTTAATCAAGTTATGATCTTCTCTTGACGAGTTCAAACCGGAGTCCATAGAGATACTGTTAGGAGTAATCAAAAAAAAATTTGAATAATTACCCCAGAAGAGTGGTACAACCGTAATAACGGAGGCCTTGACCTTTGGAGAGTATTTTTAAAAATGGTTCTACTGTTTAGCAGCCACAGCCATTCATTTCAAGCACAGCATTTTTCTTACAATTCGCTACGCCATTGAAAGCATATTTCTGTTCAGCTGTAAATGCGATACTCGAACGTTGACTTCTTAATACCGACCTATATCAATTTTGTTTTCATATATATAATATTATAATTTTTTTTTTAATCAGTAAGCTTTTATATTAACTTAAAAAGAAATAAAAACATTAGCAATCATTATTAGTCATAAGAAGCGCACTGGAGGTCTTACCACATCATGCGCTGCACAGCACATTCTTTAAGGCGAGAAAAACTTCATAATTTCGTTTTACTCTTTAACAACAAAATGTACTATAGTTTTTATTATTTATTTACCATTTTTCAATGGAAAAATTTGCTACATTTTAAGAAGTGAAAATATTTATTTATTTATATTTCATTTATATTTTAAATTAATATGCCTTACTAGTTGAGCGTCACGTGCTTAAGTAAATATATTTCATGACATCTCATAGATAAGCAGCTATGCATTTGTGTTGTTATTATGTTTTCATTTTCTATAGCTTGCTTATTTTATATCAAGCGAATAGTATGTTCAAAGGATGTAGCGGTTTGAGCGAACATAATGCATATGCAATACATATGTATATACAATATTATTTAATGCTTCAATCAGAAGCACTTATACATATATTAAAACATAATAAGCAATAAAATCTATAATTAAACGCAAAAATAAAAGTAAAAATTTTAAAAAAATTATAAATTCTCAACGCAACTTTCGAACTGCAATTAAAAACATAATAAGCGTACATTACTGAATAACATATGAAAGAAAAAACATTAAATTACACCATGCTGATAAACAATAGATCGTATCAAACCTCATCTGAAGCTCAGTTTGCTGAATGGAAAATTTGTAGGGGCACGATTTGCAAAATACTCGATTATTTCATCATTTATTTTTAGCTACCTTGAATTGGCTTTTTCAGCTTTGTTTTGATAAGGCAGACATGTTAAGCTTACTTTAGAAACTACTTTTTTCGAAAAAATTGTTCTGATATTTTCAATATGCAATAAAATATTTAACGTTGCCGTTGAATAGTTTTCAAACCATTAACAGTTTTTTAAACTGACTTTGTTTATTCATTTGCAGAGTTTCGAGTAAAAATTCTAATTTATTTCTAGTAAATATTTTACTTTCAATGCTTTCTTTTTATATTTGAGCATTCTTGGTAAAAAAAAAAATTTATTTGCTTTTATATTAAAAGGCCTTGCCAAATTTATCCTTTTCATATTTAGAATTAAACTCCTTCACTCAACACCCAACACCCAACACTGAAAACTCAATTTCAACTCAATTTTCCGCACACTTCATTCGGCCAACATTAAATACATTCCAAACAAACACACTTATATCAAATCTACGTTTCTGCAAACACAACTAATCAAATTTCTACCACTTTCCATTACAGAAGAATTAACAACAACAAACAACAACAAGCCAGGACGAAATAAAAGTCAGCCAAACACTTTAAGAAACGTATGAATTGTGATACGAACAACAGCAAAAGCCAGAACAAAAACAACAAAAAAAAAACAAATAAAATTGGTTCTTTGAAAAAAAAAGGAAAAAATTTAAACAACAAAAAAAAATTGTGTGAAAACTACGCAGTATCCTTCCACCAAAGCAATGTTGACTGGACAAAAAGTCGAATCGTCTAAAGAGCAGCAGTAATGATTGCATTTTGAGTGGCAACCAGAAGGAATTGAACAATTATCGCAAGGAAGAATAACAGCAATAACGTAAATCGAGTGCAAATTGAATGTCCACCACACGCAGCACGCATCATCCATGTCATATGCAGCTATAACGGTTTATTAAAATTTATACTGCTGGTGTTGACGGAAATATATACATAGATAACAGACTGATTTTTAAGGAAATAACTTGTGCACTCCTCCTCGACAACTGCTATATTCTACATTAAAGCGCGCACACACATTCCTGTCGCATCGTCTTCATCTTCTGCGGTATTTTTTTTAGTAATTTAACTTAAATACACACAGAAATATGGTGCACGCACCTGCACGTAAGAATAAGAATAACGAAAATGGTAACTGTGATTTGGTCGAGGATGTGCTGCAACCGGTGCCGCCAGATGGTGGTTGGGGTTGGATGGTCGTTTTTGGCTCGTTTATGATTCATATTATAAGTGAGTATTTTTGTTTTACATATTTTTTGTGATTTTAAATTTATCATAATTTATTAAATTTGTAGAAAAATAGTTGTATATTAAAATATTATTTAAAAAATCTTTACTAATAATTTTTGTTTAATTTTATTTATTTTCTCATGGTTAAGTTTCTTATCATTTTATTATGCTTTTGACACTTCCATTGTTTTTTGACAGCTGCTCAGTTGCGATTTGTGATTCAAATCCTTTAAATAAAAGTGACACCAAATATGTGCCATTAATGATTGTAAGACCTCATTTCATTTTGACAGACAATAGACACTGGAGTTTTATTTGCTAAGCTGATAGTATACAATTTTTCATATTTCCTTTAGTTATTTACAAAGTAATCGCATTGTAAGCGCTAAGTAAGTGTGTAAATATTGGCACACATATGCTACTTAAATGCTTTATAATGCATATGTGTATATATTTGTAATTATGTCACGTCACCACCGTCAACAGTTTTCTATCGCACGATCACTTGCAATTTTTTTAAATAAGTATGTCAATGAGAAGTTTTAAAAAAATATTAATTCTAATAAAGAAAAATCACAAGGGTTTATTTAATTTTATTTAATTTTTTGTTTGTTTTACTACAATTATTTTATTTTAATTTATATTATTCTATTTAATTGTATTTATTTTATTTTATTTTGTTTTATTTTATTTTAGTTTATTTCCCTATTTATCACCATAAAGGTATACATGAAGTAACGGTTGTTTTAAAATAATTATTTTATTTCATGTAGTTTTATTATATTTTATTTTGCTAAATTTTATAATATTTTATTTCATGTTATTTTATTTTATAATATTTTATTTCATGTTATTTTAATTTATTTTATTTTATTTTTTTTTATTTTATTTTATTTTATTTTATTTTATTTTATTTTATTTTATTTTATTTTCTTTTATTTTATTTTAATTTAATTTATTGTATTTTATTTAAATTTATTTTTATTTTTATTTTCTTTATTTCCTCTTTTTATCATCTTAAGGGTATACATCAAATATCGGTTGTTTTACAACAATTATTGTATTTTACGTATTTTTTTTATAATTTCTTTTTTTTGGAATATTTTTAAGTTTTGATTTATTTATTTTTTTTTTATTTGAAATCAATTTATTTTGTTTTATTTTAATTTTTTTTTATTTATTTCAATTTCAATATACTCTATTATTATTATTATTTGTAAACAATAAATTTCGTATTATTTCTTACATCTGAAAGTTTTAACTAGATCACTGGTCACTAGTTGTCATACCATCAATTCATTCTTCTTCTCAATATTATAAAGTACATAAAAACGATTGACTGGGAAACACTGTGGTGTTTATAACCGTTATCACTATACGCACATAAGTGTTAAATGCTTTGTACAAACTTCAATTACCATTGCTACTATTATAGATTTAGCTATGGACAGTCAAATACAACCTTGGTATGGCAGTTTACATGCCAACATAAGCGATAAGTCGCGTGCGAGATTTGTGTCACGCGATAACACAACTGTTCAAAGCAGCAAATAATTGTGTAAAATGTTTTGGAAGTCAAGCATATGAGTTTACAATTATAATTTTTATTATTAACGCTTATTATTAAAATGAATTAAAAACAAATATATGCCTAATGCTAAATTTACTCTGGAAATATATTTAATTATTTTTTTCAAATGATACATTGAAATTAAATAAATACTAGTTCAAGTGCCACTCAGGAATTTCACTCTTCTTCAAGTGTTTTGTTTGCTTTAGAGTATTTGCACAATTATTTCTTTACTAAATATTTTTACGCTAAGTCCATTTCGGACCTATAAAAATTGCTATTTAACATCAATCGAACATTAAATACTTCAATTGATTTATTTTCGAGTTCAAAAGGTGGTTTGAATCTTTTTGATTTTGATGATGTGATAACACGGAATACCTATTATCACAATTTAAATTTGCTGTTTAAATTCAGTACATTCAAATAATACTAGTGAAAACTGGTTCACACTTAGAGTGTTTTAAAATCATTTGTTTATTTCATCAGCCGTTGCCAGGTAGGCATTTGATGAGAAAAAGTAATTTCTGTTACATATATACATATTAATTAGTTTATTTTTGTAATATATATAAAAATGTTTATTACTTTTTATGCTTACTAATTAATTATTTTTCATTGATTTGTGTATTATTACTTTTTTTAGCTTTGTCCTATAATCTATAAAGAAAATTTATTGAAAATATTCAATTTTAAAAGTTAATTACCGCAATAAATTATATATAAAGTTATCGCCTTAATGAGGTCATAATTATATAATTAGGTATCCCAAACATTAGAAAACCTTGCCCCGATCGCATGTAGTTATGACTACGATCAACGGTGCACTTTAGACCAGAAGACCATTTTTTAAAAAACAAACGGGGTAAATGGTACTCTTAGTGCAAATATTTTGGAGTGGTCAATGAACTAATTTCTTATGAACTAATATCTTGCTCAAATATTATTTCAAATAGCAAGGCATCCATTATTTTTGTATTGAATTTAATACTTTATTTTCCATAGTTAGAAATATCCGTTTACGTCAAATATACATAGTTTTTTCTCGAGCTGATTTATTTATTCAGTTTTTTTCAAGGAGCTCCAAACTGTTATTTGTGTGATGTTTAGTTTCTAGACAATCGAAGACATTTACGCTTAATGGACAGACTCAATTCAACATTTGATCGACATTTTCGATAATTGGCCTTCCCCACCATGGATCATCTTTTACATTAACATTAAAGGGACGAAATCGACGAATTCAAAATTGTGGATAGGAAGACTATTCCCATTCTCAGCTACCCAAATTGTGCTTCCACCTTTATTGAAGAAAAATTGTAGAATATAGCGTATTTTCTCTTTGCTGGTGATCTTCTTTGACTTGCACTCTAACAAGTGTCTAAAAAGAAGTTATTAACTTCACCATTATCTTTTCTAGTCCAAAATAGTATATCTATAGCGCCATCTAGCGTAATCCGATCGTCTTTATGGAATGTATTCGTATACGTACCGAGATACAGATCACAAATCGATCGAGAAGAAACTGTAGAAAATAGAGAGTTTTAAAGCCCGCCGTCATTGTTATGGCTTGACCGATGGCGAAACTTAAAACGCGGCCTAATTTTATGCAAAAAAATTTGGTTTTTTGTAAAAAAAACGCTACAAAAAATTCAACTCTTAATTTTTCTTCGTTCAGAGATAAGAAAATTTCGCCTACGCTAAGAAAGAATTTGGATTATTGATTTCAGATTAAAATTGAAAAAGTTATCATGACTACCGCGAAAGCACTTCCTTGTGGACGGTCTATTTCACGACACTGCCAACGCCTTAATTTATACTATTTTTCATTCAAATTTTCATCAAATGTTGTGCACATATTGTACTTTTATATTTAAAAAAAAAAAATTGTATACTTTATTTAGTATCTTTAAATAAAATTAGAGAAAATTAGCTTTTTTGGCCTTCAAGACCTATGTAACCGCTTAATTTCGAGAAATATGGTTTCACACTATGGCAAGCTTAGCTTTTCTCTTACCGCAAAATTTCAATTAATCCAAAATAATCTGGGAATACTTCTATTTTGTATAAACTATTCAATGCCTTTTTAGTCTACAAACCATACATATATAACCTTGCCTTAGCCTGTAAATCAACTTCGGATCTAAACTATAAAAATCGTTACTATTTTTTCTTATTTTTATATATTTTTTCAGCCGATGGTATGACATACTCATTTGGTCTCTTCTACAACGAATTTCTCAGTTACTTTAATGAGGGCAAAGGCTACACAGCATGGATCGTGTCCATTATGGTAGGCGTTACCTATGCGTCAGGTGAGTTTACAATCATTGAATATATGTATGTATGTACGTAAATTCATTCTCGCATTTATGAAAATCTTCCTCCAATTCACAGGTCCAATTTCATCATCTTTCGTCAATCGCTACGGCTGCCGAGCAGTCACCATAGCGGGCTCCATAATCGCAGCCGCTTGCATTGTGGCGAGTATTTTCGCACAAAACGTACTCACACTGATTTTCACAATTGGTATTGGCACCGGCTTCGGACTGGGTCTCATTTACCTTCCAGCCATTGTCAGTGTGACAACATGGTTCGAAGCGAAACGTTCACTCGCCACCGGCATTGCGGTGTGTGGTTCCGGTTTTGGTACATTCGTATTTGCACCGCTCACCGAAAATTTGATCGGCTCGTTTGGTTGGCGTGGTGCTATGCTTATTATTGGTGGTATTGTGTTGAATTGCATAATATTCGGTGCACTCTTTCGACCATTGGAGCCACCAAAGCCGTCCAAAGTACACAAGGCTGATATTATTGATAATAATACAACAACAGCGGAGTTGAAACCATTGAAGTCTGGTACAAATGGTGCAGATCAGTATTTACAGTTGCCACAAGGCGGCAATGCGGCACTGTGTCGTTCGAACAGCGTGGGACATGGTTTCAATAGCAATAATGTAAGTGCATAGAGGGAAGGGGAGGGGATTTAAGGCTAAATTTTGTAATATTCGTTACGTTACTGGTGAGGCTCTTCACTATTGTGAAAAATGTCGCGTCTGAAAATAGCTAAAATCGCATAATTAAAATTTTTCTTATTATTATTTATGTATTTATTTTTATTTTTTACTATTACTGGACTTTTAAATTATTTGTGTGGCATATTTTTAGGCTCTAACATTTCAAACAATAGTGACGCTTTGAAAATTGTGAGTTTTACCAGATTTTATTTGAGGCTTTTATTTTTCCTCTACAAAAAATATTTAAGTTTCTTTAAGTACCTTAAGATTATAAGTATTCTAATTGACATTCTCTTCCACGCTGCTACGTTACTCTCTTTCTTACTCGCGACAACAACCACAACAGTTGCGTCAATTACGTCCCTCATTGGCGCATTGCCGGATGCTCTCGCTCGACTTGACAATGCTGTTAGCGCAAGTAAAATGTAGTTCGTTCCCAACACTTACAGATGATTCCCAAATAAATCACACAGACCTTACTACACTCCTGTTATATACAAATGTATGTGTCCCCATAATGCACCAATTACAATATATTTTACTTAACCGCAAACTTTTGCGAAATTTTCTCTCTGCACGCAATCCAAGCACGTTGTGAAATTCCTGAACAACTTTTACCTTCTCTTCCCAACCAGAAAAGCCCAGCTTATACTACTCACCTCGGTGAGTGGTTTTGGTATGCAAAATTTTGAAACTTTTTCACCCAAAAACTAATACTCCTTCATTCCCTTGTGAATGTTATTTTACTACTTTTACACCACTTTAATGTTCTCTCAATGTCCACTCTTTGTACGATTTCTTTATTTATACGTGTTAAAAGTAACATTTTCTCTCTCTCTCTCTCTCACTCTCTCTTACTCTTTCCTTGTGGATGTAGAACAATCAGGGCGTAAGTAACGGCGTAAATGGTAAGACTCCTTACCCGACTATCGCACAAAGCACGAGCAGCACAGACATGGTACGTCATCGCAGTCAGCCACATTTGGATCAAATAACACCGCCGCATGAGAATTGGGGCAGCGGCACTATGTATCGGCCAGATATCCTGTATCAGGTGAGTGCGGGGCAACAAAGCAAAAAAAGAAAAAAAAAATTAAATAAAATAGTTATTGACCTTTTGTTCTAATCACTTTAGGGTTCCATTCTCAACATACCTGAATATACTGCCTCACGACATGACCTCTCTAGTTCCGGCATGATGAAACGCTACGGTTCGGTGCGTCGTCAGAGTCACGCTGAGGTAAGTGAGACTAATTTTCTTTGCGAAATAAATATGTATATATTTTTGAGTTTAAGTCTTCATGTTTTGATTTTAATTTTTTCAATATCGCTTTTATCTTCCTTTTATTATGATTTATATTTTCATTTTGATTTGAACTTAATAACTATTTATTTTTTTTATATTCTTTATTACTTGTATTTATTACGACTTTAATTTTGTGGCAGTAACTTATACATTGATTTAAACATAACTGCGTATTTGTCCTTTTTTTTATTCTATTCCGGCAACCAAAATTTATACGAATAATCCCGCACGTAACTCCGCAATAGATAAGAGAATAGCGCTAATAATTGCATTGATATAAGTGTTAATATAATTCGCACAACAATTGTTGTATCCCAAAAGTTGCTAATTTTGAACGGCAACATTTTTTAAGCAATAATTTTTATTTTCTAAATATTAACTAAAATATTGTATTTCTATTTGAATTTGGAAAATTCGTTTTTATTGTTTTTCTATGATTTTTTAAATTGTTCTGACAATAAAATTTTCAAAAAAGAAAAAAAAAAAAATTTTGTCCCAACAAAAAACTACTCGAAAATTATACATTTAGAATACTAAATACTCCTCAATGACTAGCCAAATCCTTTGAGTTCCATCATTGGGTTATAAAATAAAAACCTGAACGGTTTGTTGTTAATTGCAAAGAATTTAATCAACGTTTATTTAGTACTCTATAAATAACATTTCGCTTTACAATACGGAACGACTTATTTTACTACTCCAACACTTCACTAGTATTTTCACAGTTCATTCTTTTCTAACACGCACAGTGAATAACTTTTTATAATTAAACTGCTTATTTATACACTTAACTTCACTTTATACTGATCTGATGAAACCGAGCTTCAAACTTAACAGAACATTCCAGCAGTACGATTGCTCGCATATATCTTCTAGCAGATTCTGTTTGAATGTTCTCGATATCGAACATTCGACACACGTTTTCTATCTTCTTTGAACATCTTTTAGTCGTCGACTTCTTCTGCTCATCTCGCGTTCGTATTTAGCATTCTCGCCACAGTATTATTTCTATTTTATTATTCAATCTATTAGGTTCCTATACAATTTAATTTTTTTTTCTTATCTTAAGAAAATTAAAACCATTATTTATATACATACATATGTATAGAAGTTTACTCTAAGAAAAGCGAGAAACGAAATATTTATACACATATCCATCAATATTGATGTTGTCGTCATCAGAATAGTTACCATTATGTATGTGCCAAGGCTTTTCCCGGTTGTCGAAACACTTTTGAAAGACGATCCTTCAAAAATGGGCAATTCAGTGATGCGCTTTCAGCGTCCTCTACAACTGTAAAGCAACGGTCCTTAAGGATAAGGCACATATCAAGTTACAGTATTTTTATTTTTGTCAAAATCTCACCAACAAGCAATAAAATGTGAGCCTGATGCCAAAGCTACGAGCGGGTTTTCCACAAATCTGTACCTTGGCTATTTTTGGATTGGTTCATGTAAATGGGGTTGATATTACAGGTAACCCATCTTAGTGGCCATTTTACCTGTTGATGGGAATTCATGCCGCACTTTGTCATTATAATCGAAGAGCACAATGAGCATAACCCTCAAGTTCGACCTTAATATCTGTAAACCTATACTTCTTCACCGGTTATCATTTAGTGAGTACTGGGCAACTTTAACTTTAACAATTTCGAAAGAAGTTTTGATTCATACCTAAAATATTTCACACGACTTATTCAAAAGAAAATTGAAATTATTGAAAATACTTTGGTCCAGTTCTTATTACAAAGGAAAATCGCTGTGCTTACACGTCTTTCCTTAGTGGCTATCGCAGCCAAAGTCAACAAAGAAAAGAGCTTAGACTTTTATAATACATCAATACATCAAATGCACATATTTCAACATTCAAATTTTTTAAAAATATTCCTTGGGTTTAACAAACCTCGAATTCCTTCATTTTGAAAATTTAAAAAAGAATTGCTAATTTTGATGCAGTCGACCACTGAATGCTATCCTTCGTTAGCCGCTTTGCTTTTTGGAATTACTAGATTTTTTACCTATACATTGAAGACAATTTCGAATTTTCCGGTCTGAAAAAATTGCCAAATACATATATTAAAAGGAATATAAAAAGGAAAAATTAACTTTTTTTCTGAGACGTGGACGAGGAATTGAGGGAATTTATAGGCAAAAAGCTTTTTACGGCTCCATTTGTCCGAAATTGCTTTATGTCTAAGAAGTAGGTAGAATACTATGGGGAAGTTATTGAGATTACTGTAGCTGTTGTTGTCATTTAATGGGAGGTCCAGGAAACGAGTTGTTCCGACGGGATTGGCAGAGGAGTGTTAGATGAGTCGCTTAAAGGTGGCATGTGAAGAAGTGGTTAGTGTCGTGCGGAGACTCTCCACATGCAGGGCATACGTTTGGTATACTGCGGTCTTGCTTGAATAAATAAGAGTTTATCCGCTCAGTATCCAGATCTAAGTTGTGCCAATGAGATTAATAATAGATGGCGCTGTACTCCGTGCTTTGTCATATTCCGATAGATTTCATTATACGTTGAATTATGCTTTGACAATTTTACATGTGTCCTTTCTCTTGGCCTCCTCTGAAACATGTTTAATTTTTGAAACGGTAGACAGTGTGGTTTTGAAAATTCTATCTTAAAAGTTTTTGGTTCGTGGCAGCGAATGGCACTAAAATTGTATTGGAAAATAAAATTGAAAAATGACAAAAAAAATTTTGTGTCTACACGCTAAGCCTTTCTGATTAATTATGATATTTATAAATGGCATGAAATAGGAGTTTTTCGTAAACATCCATCAGCCTTTCGGAGGTGGCATAGCATAAATTGTAAGCCTCGCAACATCTATATTAAATTATTATAATTTATAAAAACAAACAAAAATAATAATATTATTACAGAACCTTTTATTACTATTTTTATACAAAAACAATTATCGAATGCAAAAATAAAAATAAAAATTAAGCTAAAAAAACACATCAATTAGCCGCGGCTTCCTCAATATAATTAACCATGAAGCCATAGAACCAACGCAAAATGAAGTATGCGATAATTGCGCGGAAAATATTATAGACTAAACGTTTACTAGAATGAAAGAAAAATATTGAAACATTCAGTGAAATGTATATTACAGAGAAAATACACACACATACATTCTAAGGCGTTTCTGTGCAATTGGTATAGTTTTCGGGTCCTCATTTAGCAAATATTCGCGTATTGAAAAAATCATAGTTCGACAAATATCAGTTAAGCCCTCATCTGTCTTGGCTTGTGTAATCTCCGGCATGAGATCGAATTCCGTGCTGTAATTAAAGTAAAAACAAAAATCAAATTCAAATTAATTTTTCTTTAAAAATCTCTCCATTTTGCAAGCACATTACCCCTTTGTCACCTTCATCATATCATCAATATGCGTCATACCCGGACTATCGTAGGTATTAAAGAGAAATGGTTGCATAACTTCTAATGTGATATACGCTTTACGTACAATACTCATTAGAATGGGCTTGCGTCCAAAGGCCACAATTAGACCGTCCGCCAACATGGCTGGCAAGATTTGCTTGGTGAATACCTGTCAAATTCTCACTTTAACAAAATTAACTCAAAAAACAAAAAATGCGTCGAAAAACTTACCAAAAATTTATATACAAAACGATTATTTGTATAATGACAGCTGGGTATCATGAAGTTCTTTTCGAAAGCCGCCTCATACCACAGACCATTTTCCATAATATGGCACATCTGATAGAAGGTATGAGGTGAATGCTGTGATGATGAAGACATATAAACGGGTGCCTCTACAATTGCACTGTAGAAATAATATTATTTTATTAAATTTACTCATTACTCTCTCGCTCACTGTTTTAATCCTTCTCACGCTCGCTTTTTCTCTCTCACATTCCCTCACTCTCTCTCTCTCTCTATCTTTTATTCTAGCTCTCTCTTCCTCTCTCTCATTATCTTTAGCTATATCTCTCAAACTCACTTGTTCTCCCGATATTCTTTTGCCGCTCGATAGGCATAATACAACATCGTTTTTATACTGACGTCCTGCGGTGTTATATCGAAGCGTAGTGTGTATGACATGAATACAGTTTTCAATATACCAGCTCCAACGAGTACGAAGAGACCCATAGCACCCATAATGGTGGGCGGATAGCCGGGTATGGGATCGGAGAGTGCATGAAGAACTGGATATAAGAAAATTATGATAAAAATAAACAATTAATAATTTAAAAAAGCTGTTTAAAATGTATTTCCAAAATTTTAAATTATCTGAATGTTCTTTACTCTGAAATCTGCTTTAACGCAGGGTGTCGGCTAAAGGTTATTACCGACTCTCTTGATATGTACAAACCTACTACTTTGTGTCATTTCTAAAACTTCACATCCTCGCCTTTCCGGTGGTCATTTTTGAAAATCTTAACAAATCACGTGATTTATTCGACTTATACAATCAATTAAGTAAGTAATTAAAAAAATGTTGTAGGAGTTACTAAACTGTCCACAAACTTCTATACACTCTATTTATGTTGGCGTAAAATTCTCCTCATGCGCTTCTATACCGAAATCGATGGCAACTATCTGGCCTACCAGATTCCTTGCAAGGTCATACTGGAGCCATCATAAACCCCTTCTACGCTTCGCTTAAGATCCTTTCACAACACTGATTATGAATGAACTGCCGACGGTTTTTTTGTGAAATTCATAAGAACCTAACTAATTGTAATTTAAATAACTCTGCGGTACCAAGGGACACTGATCGCATAAACGACCGCACCTCCGGCATATTTTTCGTTACTTCCATACCAGACTGACTGCACAGTTGATCCCAGTTAAAAATATCCTCTGAACAAAAGTGGGAAACTGGTGGGCGAAGAGAACACCATCTTCTTCGATACCGACAATTTGAGCAAGTAGCTCAGAACATATGGAAATCGATATCCAATTGGGAGATAACAAAGAAGATTTGGCCCAAGTATGGCAGGATAAGACGTAAGGACTTATTAAATAGCACTAGTTATCAAACCTTAAATCCATGTTTACTTAAGCGTTATAAAACGTTTCATAATGGAAACTAAATAGTTTGAACGTAACGCGTTTGCTTCCAATTGGACTTGAGCAATACGTTACCAACATCTCTAAGAAATTGGACATTGATTAAATAAAATCTATTCCTCTGGTACTTTATTTGAAGAGGATCTTTGGGTTCTTTGAAAATTACCTGATTCTAGAGAAGTTTTATAAATGACTGTGATTCAATGAATTTTTTTGATGAGCTAGTATTTGAGTAATTCTCATTCCGCAGTCAAAATTTTGATTTTTGCTTTGATTTTCTTTTGGGGAGAACCCTCGATGTAAACTTTAGACCTTGGATTCAATCTACTCACCTATAGACGGTCTATAAATAGCAATCGGTATACGACCCCGAAAATCATTGACCACACTTTCGGCAAGATTTTTCGTGAATGTGTAAGTGTTCGGAAAGCCGATGATTAGTCTAAAATGTAAACATAGAATTCAGAATTAAAAATGCACAAAAAAATATCTCTTTCAAAGTGAAAACTGAATAATTATTAATGTTATACGAAAAAAAGTTGAAAAAATTAAAAAAAAATACATAACAAAGTCATCATAATAATTCATACATAATTATCGATACAGTAAAAACTACAAAAAAATAAAAATTAGTTTTTCATTAAAAAAAAAAGGAAAAAGAGATCATTTTATAATCCAAGAAAACTTTCGAAAAAAAATTAAGATAAATTAATATATATATAATATAATTAGTAGTTTTGCGACTTGCTGTCTCTCCAACAAATGGAGGGACCTGCAGTTTATACTAAGCCGGCAGGCGGAGAGGCAACCGCAATTTGAAAACTTAACTTAATTTTTTAATTATGAATAGGAATATGAACCTTCCTAATGTCAGTACGCTAACCACTCGGCTACCGCGGCCACCGTGAATTAATAATGCATAATTTAATTCATACAAAATTATTTAAGCAATAAAAATACAAAATTAAAAATAAATCAAAAGATGGAAAAATTTATTTTTTTTTTCAGAGAAAGAATTTAAAATCTACTTTTCAATAAAAATAAAAAAATAAAAATTAAAATTAAAAAAAATCTATGATAAATAAATATAAAGATCAATTGTAAGAAACTATGCTTAATCCAAAACTATTTACGCAAAAAACAAAATAAAAAATTAAAACAATATTAAAAAATTAAAATTTAATCCGACAAATATTCGAAAAAAATTAAAAATGTACTCACTTTCTTGTTAAAATATCCAATGCCTCACGTTTGCTATCATCCTGCACCAATTTCAAACACATGCGCCAATCCAGTGGGGAATCATAAATCTTCAGACGGAGAAGAAGCTAAACAAAATTCGCAAAAAAAAAAAATTAACCGCAAAAATTTACCTTCGGTTCCACACGCTTTAAATATGGATTACTATAGAATGTGGAGACGTGGAGAAATATTTTCAAATTCTTCAATTTCTCCGCAAATAACAATGCCTCATAGGTGGCGCCCACATTTAGTTTCAAAGCAACGCGTAACGGTTCATCAAAACGTACAGTGGCAGCACAATGAAAGACAACCGAAACATTTTCCATGAGAGCAATATGTTCTGGTGAAATACCCAAATTCGGTAGGATAGCATCTCCCGGTATGGGTACGAGGCGTTCGAACATGTGGGGCTTGGTTGCGCGCAGAACTTTGAAGACCTGTTAGATGTGTAGATGAATAAAATATTTCATAGCTTGAATGACATTGAATTTTTTTTTTTAAACATACCTTCGCATTTTTCAATTTCTCCAAACGTTGCTCAATACTGAAATTTTTCTTCGTACGCAAGAGTATATACACCTTTCGTACATCACAGGAGCGTAGCAGCTTTTCGATTAAGGCTTTGCCAACAGCACCTTGTTTCGAAGTAAAAAAAAAAATGTGTTTAAAATTGTCTCCCTCTACACGTTACGCTTCTCTCGCTTACCCGAGCCGCCTGTGACAAAAACCTCGGTATCCGCATAAAAATCGTGAATCATTTTTCAATTTCTTATATATAATATTTAATAAATAAGGTTTTTATTAAAATCCTTCGAATTTTATCTGACTCACGCCACTTACACTTACAGAACACGTTTTGGTCCTTAATTTTTGTTGTTGGAGCACTACCGCGCACCTTGAGTTCTTTTCGGTTACTATTAAAGTATAGATTTTAGAATGAAATAATTTACGGAACCTAGCTCACGGGTACAATGAACGTTTTTTGGTAATTTGCATTTATTTTTCCTATCGGAATTACCTCACATTTTTAAATATTTTGATAGAGTACATATATACTCGTACATATACATATGTATATTTTGGTATTTTTGGAAAGTGCGAAAGTCCGCATTTAAGTGTTGCTCAGTTGTGCTAGCATAATTTTTTTAATTGCATTCCTTATAGCAAGTATATAAATACATATGATATATATATATATATATATTTTTTAAATATAACTTGAAGTTTTTGTGCTTGCCGAAAAAATGCCGGCATAAATTAAAGACTAGATCGCTGTACAAATAATTTCCCCTAAGTTCCACATTGAAGAAAATTCAGGTGCGGCGATTAAATTCCACTAAAAAAGGGTGCATATTAATGTATTTATTTGAATTAATTACATAATGTATTGTACTATATGCATACTTATATGGACCAATAGTTTTTATTTAATATTATGTGTGCCTTATAAACCTGACAGAAGGCTGAAAAACGAAGAAAAGATTAAGCTCAATGTTTAGACACCAATGAAAAATTTTTATTTTTAAGCAAAAAGCTTTTCAGAAAGTTTTTCAAATGTACTTTGTTAAAAAAAAATGTTACCAAATATTTTGAAGCCAATATTGATATTCACAAATTTTTTAAAATTTTAAAACAAAACTAATTAAATCCATACAATTTTGAGAAAAAATCTTAACTAAAAAAAGTCTCCAAAAAAAGTGTAGAGTTTTAGAAAATCTCCAAAAACTTACAATAACAATTCAAACTTATAGCAAATCATGGGCTTTTTTGGCTTTTCAGAAATTTATATATATTTTATTATAAAATTCTCCACAAAAACCGTTAAGAAAAGAATAAAAATATTAGATATTGAAAACGAAGAAAGGAAATAAATAAAAAAAATATGTGCGAGCTTTCAAACAACTCTTTATAAAAGTCTCCAAAAGTGTAGACTTTCAAACAGTCCCTAAAGTATTTAGAAAACTGTTAGTATCAAGCGCTTTATCGCAACAAAGTGTATCGTAAGTATCCAAATAGTGGAGTACCTCTTAAAAAGGTAAAAAAGTAGAAAATAAATATGAAGATTAATTAATTTATATACATCTTACCAATGCGAACAGTGCTGCCATAAAATTGAACTCGATTTATTTTATTGTATAATTTATACAAAATTTTTATGTATTCTCCAATTATAGGAAATTGTAAAATGTTGCGGCTGCATAACATGCTCCAAGGAGACACACGACACCTTTGTCGAAATGATGAATTTCGCCCTGCTCAAGGATGCCGTTTTTATGCTATTCGCGCTCTCGAACTTCTTCACAAGCATTGGCTTCAATGTGCCATACATCTATATAGCAGCACAAGCAGAAACGCTGCAACTGAATAGTGCACAGTCTAGTTACCTTATTGCCGTTATCGGTGTGGCGAATACAATCGGTCGTATAATACTCGGTTATCTAGCGGACAAGCCATGGGTAAATCGTCTGTGGGTATATAATGTCTGCTTGACGCTGTGTGGTATTTGTAAGTATCCAAAAATAAATATATAAATGAATATGCTAAAAAAGTGATAAATGATTAAAATTAAAAAATAAATATATTAATAAAAGTAAAAAAACTAGTTCAGAAAATTAGTAGATATATAATTGATATGTTTAAAAAAATATACATAAATTTTTAACTTAATTTTAACTTAAATTTCTCATATTTATTTTAAAATTTTAAATAAATTGTAAAAAAAATTTCTTAAATATATTTCACAATCAAATAAAATTAAGAAGTGCTTCTCCAAATTTTTATTTTATTAATTACGCTTTCTTTTTACTTAGCTACGGCCTTGAGCCCACTTTGCACTGGCTTCTATTCGCTTGCGGCTTACTGCGCGGCATTCGGTTTCACCATTGGCGCCTACGTGGGTTTAACCTCTGTCATTTTGGTCGATTTGTTGGGCTTGGAGAAGTTGACAAATGCTTTCGGCTTGCTGCTACTATTCCAGGGTGTAGCCTCATTTATTGGACCACCAATTGGCGGTGAGTAAAAGATAATAAAGAGATGATTAAAATAAAAAAAATTATTTAAAAAAATTACATTTAAATAATTTTATGGAAAAATATTTTCTTCTCCACCCACAGGCTGGCTTTATGACGTCACCGACTCATATGGTCCCGCATTCCTAATGGCTGGCATTACAATTGCCATTAGCGGTATTATACTCTTCATCATTCCACCGCTGCAAAGGCACCTGGAGTCGAAGGCCAAGCGCAAGCTACAGACAACTACGATCTCGATGAGTTAGGTGTATGAGGGATTGACTAAATCAAGCGCTGTGCAATGCTACACTCCGTCTGCTTTAAAAAAATTTTAATATACTTTTTTTTTTTCTAAACGCTTTTCATTTCCATATACATACATACATATATTTGTGTATACACATATGTTAGTATGTAGGTATATTCAGGAAGCTTAAAGAATTTACTAGACGTGTGTTGTATTTAATTAAGTTTATGTTGTCTGAAATTAAGTTAACTGTAAATCTTTATTACACTCAAAGGTATATAAATATGTATAAGTATATGAAAAATAGGAAGTGTCCTTTAAGGTAGGTAAGAAACAAAATAGGGAAGAAATTATGCCTTTTAATATATACTATTGTACATATGTATGAACTGTAATATATACTAATGTGCATAGATATGTATATCTATTAATGTACATGTGTCGCCATATTTCATTCTACGTATAAGGTTCTTCATAGAAAATTGCCAATGAAATGAATTTTATCATACATACGAGTACAAATGTACATATGATTGTTGTTATTGTTGAGAGTATGATTGGTAAACAAATGTTATTACAAAAAGACGTACATATTTAGAAATCTAACAAATTTAAAGAATTTAATATATGTAAGTGCTAAATCATACCGTTATAGTAAAACCTAACAATTAAAGCAATAATTTTCTCTCTTCCCGCAAACGGATTACCAACACTTCCTTTTAGTATCTATAAAAGCTCAGGTTAACCATAAATATGCCGCATATCAAATGCCACTCAATTTTTATCATGATATATGAGAACTATTAACGGTATTCATACTTCAATAATTCACTAAGCCGTATAATACACTTTTCATTCAATCCAAGTTGATCAAATGAATATGTTTTAGGAAATAAAAATAAAATAGTTTTAAATAAAGAAAATTTAAATAAAATTTTGAATAAAATATATATGCAAATTTTAATTAAAAAAAAAAAGATTTTTTAATATCACTAATTACGAAATTCCTCTGACCCAATTTGTATAAAAATTTTGTAATTTAATTTTTGAGATTTTCCACATGTTAATAAGGCTAATTTATAAAGAAATTATCTTTTTCTATTTACTTGCATTACTAAATGAAAGCCCTATATTTGTAGAGTATGCGTTTGAAGGGGTTTTGGAATACAATGAATATTTTTCACACCTGCCTCACGCACGCTGCGAACTTTCAAAGAACTTTGAAGGCGTTTTTCTTGAATCAATGTTTGCCGTTCTAAATTCAAGTCCCGGACTTGATTTGTTCTTTTATCTAGAACCTCTTTCAAAGTACATAGTTCTTTGTACGTCTTGAACATAAAAATAGCATTAATAATTAATTATTTATATTTTAAAATAGAAAAAAAAATTTACTTTATAATTGCAATGTTCATTATGCAAAAAATTTATTAATAAATATGTTTCAATTGACGTTCAGGACGTGCAAAGTTTCATTGTCTTCAAGTAATAACAACGGTTTTTTATTTCAGTCCACTACAAGAGGCTGTAGGCTTGAGGTTGTTGGGCTTACCGTTTTAAAGTCTCCAATAATAAACAAATTTTACAGTCAGAACCGGAAGCTCGTACGCATTTTCATTCTCCCCAAAAAAACATACAAATTTTGCCTGATTTTTGGCCAATATAAGGCGAGGGTCCCCTTTAATTATTTAAACTAAACTTTAATGTTCCAACTCGTATATCTGGGAATTTTAGGCATTCACTATTAAAGCCATGTAAAACAAATTCTGAATTGTTTGTGGCACCATTTTAATTTTCATTTCAGCACGTTCGATCTCTCAGACTCACTTTTCAGCATGAAAAGGACTATTCTACTACTCGCAACAATTATTTTTCTCTCAACAATTAAACTACTAAATTTCAATTGTTGAAAAATTATTTTTTCTGTACCTGAACACTTTCAAATCTCGACGCTTAACGAACGCTTCCCAATCATGGCGCGACAAATACCATACGTTATGCGGATGTCGCCTTTCGTGACGGTTGAGCGGGTGAAGAGTATTCGTTGAACTTATTATTATTATTAAAACCAAAATTTGTTGAATCTTAAAACTAACTCATTGTCCTCATTGAATTAGATTTAAAGCTGGGCCGGTAGTATTGATTTTATTGTTATTTCTTACATTAATTCTTCTTCTTTTTGTTTAGTGCGCCATTTGTTCGCTGTTTGCCGCCGGCTGGAAATACTATTGCTTCAGTCCTACCTGATCCTTCCAACAGATCCTCCTTCCTTCCTCTTCCTCTGCTTCCACCAGCGAGTACTGCATCGGAATACTTTGAGAGCTGGAGTGTTTTCATCCATTGGTATGACATAACCTAGCTAGCGAAGACGCTGTTTCTTCATTCGATGTACCATGTTAATGTCATGATATATCTCATACGGCTTATCGTTCCATCGTCTGCGGTGTTTGCCGTCGCCAATGTGCATATGACGACAAATCGTTCGCGAAACTTTTCTCTCGAAGAGACCCAAGGTAAACTCATTAGATGTTGGCATCGTCCACGCTTCTGCGCAATATAGTGGTAGGAGCATAATGACCGACTTGTATAGTTTTGTTTTCGTTCACCGAGAGAAGGTGTAGTACCTGCTGGCAAGAATGATTCAGAGTTAGTGTTGGTCCCTAGATAAATGAAATTATGTATGACCTCGAAGTCATGACTGACAGCAGTGTCATTTATTTGAGGACGGTATACACGTATATCTCGTTTTGTCCTAGTTCGTAAGCAGACCCGTAATTTTCGCTTCCTTAACTAATCTGAAGAAAGCAGTACTCACTGTGCGGTTGTTGAGGCCTATGATATTAACGCCATCGGCATACGCCAGCAGTTGTACACTCTTGCGAAAAATTGTCTATGTAGCTCTGCAGTTAGTATTATTTTCTGTAGCATCAAATTGTTGAAATCATATGATAAAGAAGAGTTACTCCCTCTAAAACCTCGTTATCACTGAACGGTTTGAAGAGGTCCTTCCCAATTCTGACTGCGCTGAAGATGTTGTTCAACGTCAATTTACACAGCCGTACAAGTTTTGCAAGAATACTAAATTAAGTCATAGCGGCGTGGCGGTGGCTATTACTATATAATTGGCGATTTTTGACCGCTAAGCCGCCTCCGAACGGATGATATTTTTTTATGAGGAGCTTTATTTCGTATCTTCATGATTTGGTACATGCTGAATAAAAAGTAATTGATTATTTGCTTATTAATATGTGTATATGAACCAGAAAATAGAGCTGTCTTTATACCTTGCATGACCATATCAAATGTATGGTCTTTGATTTAGGATTAATTAAGTTTTGGTGGGTCTGTGTATTCTTCTCCTGGTTCTTGCATACTTCAAGCTGAATGTAATATATCACTTTATGTTAATGAAAGGTATAAAAACGGTTTTTGTTACTAGACAGACGTTGCCAATATATATTTTGGGTTATTAGCAGTTTCTCAGGCACAATAAATGATTGTACGAAAAAAGTGTTACGATACAGGTTCGACTAAAACTATGATAATACTCCATAAAAATCCAGAAGTACTTTTCATCAGTTAGCTTCTCCTTCAAAATTTAGTTTTTAGTTCGAATATATTATTGCCACATGTCGATTTTTTTTAATATTGTGGCTCAAAGCAATATAAGGTGACGATGTACTCAACATTCTCTTTTTTTTATCTGCTACTATTTTTTGAAGCTGCATGACGGATTAGCCCTATTCCTTGTCTACATTAATTTTCAAGCTCTCCGATTCATATGACTCAATATTATATCCACTATTCGGGTGACATTATAAGGAAAATAAGTTGGCAGATTCGGCAGAAACGAATGAACTGGTTCTACTGGCATGATGCTGCTGGTACAATAACAATGTTCTGTCTCGCTTAGTAAACAAGGGTTATCAAGCTCTTATTTGAGTACTCAAAGACATCTATTTTAGAGTTGAAACAAATTTTTTTCAGCCTTAAGCTTGCTGTCAACATCATCATCACTTTACTCAATTATTCAATTTATTTGGGTTATTTTCTGCGACGCTCAATCAAAATGTTTTTTAAATGAGAAGTGCTTAGTTTTGCTTTTTAATATCTTCCAAAATGTGGGAATATGGTGTCAGCTGAGAAGCTGCCTACCTGTGCAAGCAGCATTGTGTTGTAACCAAACAAAATCCAACTCAATCTCAACTATCAATAGACTCTGAAGCCTAATCTACGCCTAAAAAGGCGACAGAAACATCAGACCAGACTCATATAGACTCAAACAGTACATATACCATTTTTTTTGTTAAGGTTAAAAATTGATAATCACTGCAAACAATTTTTGTGGTCGAAGTGATCAAAAAACTGTTGCCTTTCTTCATAGAACCATTTAAAAATATTTAGAAAAAGAAAATTATCTAAATAAGGCTGGGCAAGGCTAAAGCTATTAATATCAATACAGGCTAGTGCAATCTTTTTTGAAATTTTTTAATTTAAATAATTTTTTAATGTACCATATAAATTTCTAACAGACGGAAATGCTTCTCAATGTATTATTTGTCCTAAAATTGATCAGAATATTGAGTCTACGACCCTACATTGTTCGCTTCGTTTTACGTGGGAGATGCTACGATATCAATATGAAGAATGGATGAAATTTTGAATATACGTCTAATGAGATATTGAGGAAACTATCCACTACGTGCACCTGTATTTAAGTAATTTAATATTTAAATCTAATGATTTCCTTCATTTTTGGTCAGCCTACTACTCAAAATAATTATTATTTCAGACTACTATTGAATAATATAAACTCAATTATTTAATAATAATTTGTCATTTTCAAGGGTAACGCCATTAAAACTTGGCAAGCAGACGTAATTAATCAAAAATGCACATTGTAGTTATATATATACGCTGCAACAAAGAATTGTCTGAAAAAGGCTTAATGTAAATTAAAATTTTTTTAATTCAATATTCTATACTACGAAAACTTTTAAAACTTAATGCCCATCAAAGAATAAATACACTGCACCAATAAACAATTATTGTACTCATTGTTATAAATATATGTAAGTTTTTCAAATTCAGATGTAAAATTTTTAAATTAAATAAAATATTTTTCGTATAGCACAATTATATATATACACTGATATCTGCTTTGCTTATTATTAGAAATAATTTCAAATTAAACTTTGTAGGCATTTGTTTAAGTGTATTGTTTAATTGTATTATTTTATTTTTGCATTTTTAAAAGTATAATTTCACTGGTTTAATGGCAAGATCAGCCGAAAGAGCCGACATCCAACAGCTATGATGCGACATAATATTCAATTATGTCTTCCTCGTTGAAATTATGAAATATATATTTTTGTTTTCTCAGCAGCAAACTTTTATTAAACAGCAAAGCGCAGTTGTAGGTGCGGAATTTTTTTTGAAATTTTACCGTCTGCTATTTTCGACAGTGCAACACACAATTTCTTTGATTACAATCAGGGCCACATTAATCATACGCGAAAACATTTAAATTGACAAAAAATCAAAAAGACAAAGATCTGAGTAGCCTCTACGAAAAAAAAATATAAAATATAAAAATAATAATAAAATATGAAACAAAATACATTAAAAAAATAAATCAAAGAAAAAAATGAAATAGACTCCTTTAAAAAAACATTCAGAACATAATAAAATAATTTAAAGTAAAATAAATAGAAATGGAAACTAGACCAAAAATAAATATTAATAAAATAAAATACGAAAAAAATCTACTGAAAAAAAAAATAAAATTTATAAAAAATATTAAGTAAATTTAAATAATAACATTAAAAATTAGTTACTTATTTACCTATAAATTAAATTATTAAATAAATAAAAAAAAGAAATGAATTAAATTAAAATAGAACAAAAAATAAATAAAAATAAAATAAACTAAATTAAAAAAAATTAATTGAGCAAAATGAAAAAAAAAATCAAATAAACTGACTAAAATAAAAAATTAAATAAAATAAAATAAAATAAAATAAAATAAAATAAAATAAAATAAAATAAAATAAAATAAAATAAAATAAAATAAAATAAAATAAAATAAAATAAAAAGACTACAACATATTACAAAAAAATTTTAATGAAATAAAATTAAAACAGAAAAAATCAAACAAATAAAATAAAATAAGTAAACTAAAATTAAATAGCAGAAAATATAGAATAAAAATATATAAAAAATTAAAAATAAAGAAATACGGTCCTTTTCTCTACAGGGCCCCACAAACATACAAAAATTTCCACTTAAATACTATTTTCATTGACACTCTAGCTGCGTAGACATCTTTGTGAGCATATGTTTGTATATTATATGTATGTCAATGATGCAATTTTCGTTTTGTTGCATTTATTATGATTATCTTCACGAAATCTTTGCGCCCATTTTCATGGGTACTCAATCCGAAAAATGTTGAAAGTAGGTGCACTTTATGGCCCAGTGTCTGTTTCTAAATGCTTGTTGACAGATTTATTAAGCGTTGCAGTACCAAATCGCAAGTAATACTAACCATTTGGCAGAACACCAAAATTCATCGGAAATTCTTTTCTGAATTTATTTAAGTATAAGTATTGTTAATATATTGCATTATTTAGTGGTTCGATTTCCATAAATTTTGGCGAAAAATTTCACATGATTTTACTATTATTTTATTGGCACAGGAAAAACCAAATATTTTTCAACACCTCATCACAAGGAAAGACAGACTTAATTGTAAGTATCTGCAATAAATATTATATATAAAATCCAAGCCAGATATAATGCTTTACATATTAACCTTTCTAAAATAAGTCTTACAGATGAATATTTTTAAATATATATTTACCTATTCTATATTTGTTATTTTAATTTAAATTTTTGATTTTGTATAATTTCAATTCATTTTAGTTTATATTTTATTTTATTTTATTTTATTTTATTTTATTTTATTTTATTTTATTTTATTTTATTTTATCTTATATTATTTTATTTTATTTTATTTTATTTTATTTTATTTTATTTTATTTTATTTTATTTTATTTTATTTTATTTTATTTTATTTTGTTTTATTTTATTTTGTTTTATTTTATTTTGTTTTAGTTTATTTACTTTATTTTATTTTATTTTCTTCTAAATTAATTTATTTCGTTTTATTTAATTTTATATCTATTCTCGGTTAAAGTTTTCCAATAATCTTTTATTCAAGCAAATTTTCATTATCCTATTTGTACTTTTAAATATTTTAGTTAATATTACTTTTTACTTTTTTACCGTAGATCTCATCTGATTTCTAATTTTCTGCTCGTTTGGTCTGTCTAAGAGATTGGCTTGAGTTGATTTGATGTGGTCTGTGGCCCAAATGACAGCTGTCAAAGAATGTCATCTATGTCGTGCGAGTCTAATTAAAATTTAAATATACTAACCTACTATACAACCATCATTCTTACGCTATACATACTAAGAGATATATATGTATTTATTTCATCTAGTAAAATATTTTTTTGCACAACAATACTTTTAAGGCGTCCAAGTACGCAAAGTGAATGCAAAAGAATTTAATTTATTCACTCAACGATGAAAAGAAAGCATTTTCCCATTTCCGTTTAATTTTTTTATATTTTCTTTATTATATTATGTGTAAATATTTATTTATAATTCTAAAAAAATGTATTTGTAATAAATAAATTAATGCTAAATAACTGCAACATTTTAGTCAGAAAAATTCGACATTGCATAAAGGCTTTTGAGAGCGCCAATTAAAATGTGACAAGACAAGGCATTGAAAAAGTATTTCTTAATTGAAACAGTAACAAATGGGATATCATTACAACAACAACGAGTTTAAGTTTTATGATATTCAGAGTAATGATTAGCACACAAACACACTTCCAATACAATATATACATAATAGTTCTTATGCTTTCTTCTAAGCTTCTTTGAATAATATCAAAATCTCACTCTCTCCTCTCTCTAAGTAATCTACTTCTACTCAACCGCCTTACGGGATCTCATTTGTAATCAATTTTTTCAACGTACAATCACCCGCGCCCAATTTTTCCATAATTTCCAATATCTCATCTCTATATCGATCACGATGTTGCATTTCTTCTTCGCTGAATTCACCTTTGAAACGTGACATACGCCAAATCACATTCAACTTCGCTTCGACGAGCACGTAATTCGAAGGCGGGCAGAAACGTGGACACATCTCGTTGATGAAGGTAATCAGTTCGTGCACGGTGCTCGTGTTAATGCGATTATTGATCGTATTCAGTGCGAAGTCCTGATAACGAGCCATCTTCGCATGTGGAGCAACTGTCTCGCAGCTAGTGCAACGCCAATCCGGCTGCAGTATTTTCGATTGAACTGGTATGACTATGCCTTTGCAGCCCTGCTCACGGCAGAAAAGTGCTGATAGGTAGGTGCCGTTCTCCTACAAGAAAAAAAGAGAGAGATATATGGTTAATGATTTAACAACATTTTAAATCTTCTAATAGGTGATTCGTTAATTATGAAAGACAAAGTAATTTAATGCAATACTAGAATTTATTTAAAAAAATATTTTTTCTATCTCATTTTATTTTGTTTTAATTAATGCATTTATTTTATCTCGCCTAGTATCGAAAATAACAACAATTAGGAACAACATACCAAAAGATAGATGTACAAAAATTGCTAAATGCCGAAATTTTTCATTCGACGACAGTGAATTTTGTGTCGCTTTTTAAAGTGAAAATTGTAATTTTTTGTCCAAAATTACACGATTTCGCGAAAGAAACAAAAACTATGAAATGTATTCACACGAAGAATTGGATATTTGCAATATTAAACCTATTTTATTAAACCTATTTCACAAATTTTCGATTGATTCCCTTGTTTATAAAATATGCCAATTTTTCCGGTCTAGACTTTGCATTGTCTGTTCTTATTTTATTTTATATAACTATTTTATTATATTTTAATTTTATTTCATTTTATTTATTCACGTTATTTCTTTTTATTCTATTTTATTTCATTTTATTTATTTACTTTATTTTATTTTATTCTATTTGATTTTATTTCATTTTATTATTATAATTTCAATTTATTTTATTTTTTTATAATTTATTTTTTTATTTTATTGTAGTTTATTTTTTATTTTTTATGTTTTATTTAATATTATTACATTTTTTTAAGTTAATTGAATTTAATATTAATAAATTTTTTATTTTATTTATTTCATTTTGTTTTATATTGCTTAATTTTTTATACTTAATCTTATTTAATTCTTTTTAATTTTATTTTTTATTTGTTTATTTTATATCATTTTGTTTTGTTTTATTAATTTAATTTATTAATTTTATTAATTAGTTTTTTTAATTAATTAAATTGTGTTTTCTTTCATTTATTTTAATTTAATTCACTTTATTATAATTTTTATTTTGGTTTGCTTTAATTTATTCAATTTTATTTTTTAAAGTCATTTTATTTTATTTTAAATGTATGATATATATTTCCATTTATTTTATTTTATTTTATCTATTCTATATTTTGTTCTTGTACTTCCTTAGTATAAATGAAAAAGCATTTTTCAAACAAGTTGTCTTTTCTTGCCTAATTGCTCTTCATTAAGCAGAACTACCGCAGCTGATACACAGCAACTGTCTGCAAAATTAAAAGAAATGTATTAATGAATGGGATACTGGCAAAATTTCGAATATGTATTGAACAAAAAACATTTGCATATAACGAACTCATTTCATGTCTGTTTAATTGATTTATCTGTTTTCTTTATGTATTTGCTAAAAATTAGTGTCGCGACCGCGGTGCGTGCCTGTCTATTCTGCAAGTGCGATACATTTTTCAACGAGGAATTTCATAATTTTTAAATAAATAAGAATAAATAAGTGAGTACGTATGTACTTATTATTATATACATATATTAATATATATCTAACATCGGCGCCTTCTGAATAACACACTCGTACACACACTTAAAACAATTTTTGGAAGACAATTAATTTCAAAAAAAAATTTGTCGAAAAGAAAAATAAATAAATGAATACATATATATGTATATGTATATTATGTATATTTATAGCAGTTTTTGGTTTTGAGAACATGTCAAATAATTTTGGTTTTAGTTTTCCGACATAAAGCATATGCGTTCATTCTATATAATGAAAAAAAAAAGAATAAAAGACTAATTTGAATTTTGTGGATTCCCTAATTGATTGTGTTTTTTTTTGTATGTACTCAGCACGTATAATAATTTACTCAAGTGGTTTTTTGTTTGTTTTATATATGCTAATGAATTAACTCTAATTATTTCATTAAAGAAATGTAGTTTTCCAACAAAATTATATTGTTTCTTTGCTTTTGTATTTTTGTTGACCCAATTACTTTAGTTTACATATTGATTAGAGTAATGGATTTTTTATTAGACATTCACAACAACAACAACCATTTGTCTCGCTTACATATTGCCGCGTGAATAAACAATTTACATTCTGTACTTATGTGACTCGGAAAAAGCAGTTCGATTTAGTCCGTGTATGAAATTGAGTATTCGACGATGTATATTTATGAATTCGTTATGGTTTTCGGGTCATGATATCTGTAGATATTCCATTTATTATTCAAATACGGATCCGTGCACTAAATTCTCATATATTTTTTCGAGAATAATTAGAAATCTTAAAATTTATTTCGAAAATATGGCAAGCTTTTATAACATCTAGCTCGCTTGTTAATTTGAGCGAATTATTTTCTTCAACCTACTACGTGATCTAAGCCGATTAGTTCGATCTCTAGTCCTTTGGTGAAACTCGATTACTTAGTCCACCATCATACACATAGAGCCTTCTTGAGGCAGAATAAATATGAGTATAATCTGTTTTTTTTTGTATTGGAAGAACTCTATTAGTCATTGAGAAAGCTTTGGAGTTTCGGAATAATGAATTCGCATCTTTTTAGTTAGCCAAATTCAAAAAAACGCTAAGGCTATCTCATCGGTTACATCAAGGCCTTTCTGATGCCACAAATTAATGTACATTACCCATCGCTATCTTATTCTATTCTCTGATGTAATTAAATAGTTCAATAAGTTTGCTTGACGTAAGTTATCTTCAATAGACCATACAGCAATATGGTCCCGAAAACCAACACTGCCCAAAGCAGAGCTTAAGAGTTGGATGCTCATTCTCCTCAACATATTATCCATTTAGCGCCTACAACATTTTCTATAAAAAGCTCCTAATCTTCCTTCACGATGTTATATCAGATGTTGGTATCTTGGAATACCTTGGTCATGTACCCTATTTTTAAGAAGTACATTTTCCTTAATCTCTTTCTGACTCACTTCGGTTATATGGACGTCACTCGAAACTACATATATTTAATAGCTTATCTATTTTTATTAGATTTCTATGCAATTATAGTTAGGTCAAATGCTACCCACCATCTTTTTTTGTCTTATTTGGTAACTTCATGAGAACTTGATTTTTTCCCATTTTTTTTCCTCAGTCTAACAAAAACTACAGGACAGGCACATCAATGCATCTCATCAAGGTCTTCTGGGCATTGATAGCACGGACACTTGTACGAAGTGGGGAGAGGTGGCCACAAATGGGACATTAGAAGACCTTCCCTGTTGCTGTCGCACCCTACCTAGAACTTGTCTTATATATCTCGAAGCTAAGCAGCTCGAAGGTTTCGAGGAGATTTCAAACGGACTCTCACCTGGCACTTCAAAAAACCAAAGGGTTTAAGTAAATCGCATCAGCAGGCGAATAAAACCTAACCTAATTTATGATAAAGTCAAATGCATCTGTTTGTCAGGAGTCTGAAAGTTTATGAGTTAACATCTTGCGACTTCTTGCTTTAAGACCTGGTGAAAGATGAGGCCTACACAAGCAAACCAAAGTCAATTCAGGACCTCAAATATGGAATCTGTAAAGCTATTGACAGCAAAAAGCAGCCACTTTGTGAATTGATGATGGAAAATTTCATTTTACTGCAACTAGAAAAATTAATTTTCTGCAATTTTAGATATAAGTCGAACCAGGACTTGAACCTTGGCCTTCTGAATTGCCGTATTCAGTGCTCACCTTTCGACTATTTCGACCGCCGACCTTACATTGACATCTTAGAGTTGAGACAAAATTGCCAAAAAATATATCTAAATCGATCAAAAATGTAAGTAATGTAGTTATCGCAGTGTTGTGTTATCGAAATTTTTGACAAAATGTTTGTCGGCAAATAAAGAACATGCATTTGAAAGAGTAATTTTATCGAATTTACCAATTATCATTTCAGACCGTAAATTTAAGAAACCCGGACGACTTTTTGCGCTTTCCAAAACTCTAAACTCCACAGTTGTTTCTACTCGAAAGAAAAATTTCGACTTGATTGATTACAGAAAATCGTGTTAAAAATGTTTTCATTACTGGAATATTTTTGGGGTTTATGCTTTGGGTCATGTATTGTATGTTATTTCAGAAGAGACCTACTTTAAAAGCGATATTTAATCCATTCAAATGAATAATAAATAATTTGTGTATTAATTGACAATTTGCTGGTACTTTTTTCGTTACTAGAAAATTCTTATTGATTTTTTTCACTCAACATGTAACTGGAAAAAATATGTATTTTCAATGGTTAGCATAGAATGTTTGCGGGCAATCAGCTTGGACTTGGACGAACCGAATACTATGCAGCATCGCCAACTAGTATATTCACACCCCTGGCAATTTATACTTGCAAAAATATAGAATTTCAATTGCAAGTAAATTCACTGGAATAAATGAAAGCCTTCCACTCGTGGATAATATTTTCCCCTATAAATTTAAAACTTTTAAGTTTTTCTTTGCAAATGTGCAACACACTCACATACATTGGTAGACATTTACATACATGAATATGCACAAATATGCTGCAGTTCCTGCACTTGCCGTGGTTGCCGCAGTCACGCAAATAAATCTCATTAGTCTCATTGCCAATGTCAACGGAAAAACAACAATAACAACAATAAGGCGCAAACAACAGCAATATGCGCAGGTAAGGTCGCAAGCTCTGACCACCAGACAACACCAGTAAACGGATTACACTCACACTCACTCACACACACACACACACACAGACGCACACTTGAATATGACATAGCCGACTCACCGTATTATCGTTGCAACGCGCACATTCACATATAAAATGTTTAGTCATTTTGAGAAAAATGCCACGCGTCAGATTACTCCAGAGAATCTTGGTATATGTGGTTGTGATCTCGGCACCTTTGGGAATTGGACGCGCTGCACGCACCACCGCCAAATGACCATTATCGAAGTAGTGACTCGCATTGGGCGTACACTCGTGATTCATGATCGCTGTCAGCGGAAAGAGACCACGCAACAGGGTCTCATGTTCACCAATGCGACAGGGTGCTTCAAAGGCATTCGTATTCAATACGCCAACAATACGAAAGAGGTTATCCATGAATGACTTATCCGTAGTGGGAAATTTACGAAAACTCTGAGCCGCTTTGATAATCTCTTGTCGATAACCGCGCTCTGCATTCGCTTGCATGGCGTTGACGAGCGCACGTTGATCGGGTTTGAGAAAGAATACACGCACCGCGGTAAGTATGCGCAGGGAGTAGGGATTTACTAGCGGCGGATCGGAATTTTTATCTGCACACATCTGAGCTAATTGACTCAACTCTACGGGCTGCCAACGCTGGAAGAGCTCACACTCCTCACGATGTTCCACTGTATCGGCGCACGCATCGCACACGGGCAACATGCAATTGTGCTTACATAAAAAATCCTTCACGGCCAACAGTTTGTGACAACAAACGCATGTATTGAGTATCGAACCTTTACGCGCCGTCGGACCAACAACGAGCGGACACTCACGGAATAGCAATTCACCAGCGGCAATATCACGCGTGGCAAACACGCCGCGTCCAGCTACATCGGAATGCGCGACGGTCCAATTGGGTTCACTGTCCTGTAGATCACGCAAGTGTATGGCCACAAGGCGCGCCAACTCGTCGGGGGTGGCCATAATAGCGTGGAGCACGTAACTAATTGTCACGCTTCAGTTTGGAATGCAAAATATAAATTTTTATATTTTTAGCACACACATACACTCGCACACAGTATTTTAATAATTATGATTTTTTTTTTTTCGAAACACTTTTTTTTTTATAAGAACTTAGTATTGCTAATTTTTACGGAGCTCTATCTCTCTAAGGTCCGTACAATGCGAAATGCGCGCGACAACTATGCCCTGAGTGGTAACGCGCGCCAACCGCAACTTAATACGCTTACGATCTGCTTTTATTTTATTCGTTTTATTTTTTTATTTTTATTTTTGTGTTTGTTTTTGCATGGAAGTCGCACATTTTATTTACCTCTATTGTCACACCCGACAACATGGGTACGCGTGAAAGCAAACGCTATGCCGCGCGCAAATAGACCGACGCTCGCTGAGCATATGTTATGTTCAACGTAACGAATTGTCGAATGCCGCCTGGCGACTACGCGTGCAAATATCAAAGCCAATGTATCGTCGTTGTGCAAAACGTATGTGAAAGTGTTTACGAGTGCTTTATTGTAAAAACGAAGATGGTGAAACCTTCTGCAGTGCAGGCCACTTGCTAGTCTGTAGCATATGAAGCAGCTGTTGCTGTTATTGCCAGTGATGCGGTGTCCACTACTGCTGGCACAATTGCAACGCCACCTTGCTGCTGTCTATGCGACATTGAACGGTGGCGCAAACCGATAGGAGTAGTGCCCATATTTTCAATATCGACTAAATTAATTTAAAAATTGGGTAACAGAGACATTGTTTTGGGATTGAAAATTTAGATTAATTGGGTTAGAAAAGAGGAGAAAAGAGGAAAATATGTTGAACCTTCTTTATCTGCAAAAACGGTAGGGTCACCAGTTTACTTTCCCATTAACCCCACCTTGCTATATATGTGAAGGTCTGGACGTTGAAAACATCTGTGCAGATTTCTTAAGAAAGGTAGGAAGATTTATGGTACTTTGCGCTTTGCCAAACTTTACTGACCGCCTGCATAGGCAAGTGGATGGTCTAAGTTAAGCCAAAATGAGCCAATCAGCGAGTTTTGAAAGCAAATAACACCAAAGAAACTCAGTTGATAAGGAAAATAATCGTTCACCGTTTCTCTTTTGGCACATAAGAAATAATTCAAATCCCGGGATAGGACCTCAACCAGTAGCAAAAAAAATCACTAAGAAAATATTAAAACGTAACAAAAAAGGAAACCAGTTGTATGTAACTGTGTCGACAATTTTCGCTACGACATTATGGTATGGTAATGATATTAAGCAGCAGTGCTCCGCATTAAGCTCGCTAGAATCAGCGAAATGGCATATAAATCGGGTTACTCCGAGAATTTTCATTTTAAAGGCTCTTAGAAATTCGGGAGGTTTTAGGTGCAGCGTAAAGGAGAGGATCCAGAAAATAATCATTAATTATTGATTTATCTATCTTCATTTATGGTATGACTATGGCATTTATTATTTAACCTTAATGTTCGTGAAACCACTTCATTAAATTACAAAAGTTGAATTTATTTCCTTTTTAACCTTTTCATTTATTTTATAAAATTTTTTAATAATTTGAAAAATTCTTAAAACAATTTTTAGCTTTTGCTCAACTTTGTTGTTTTTATATACATTTTAACTACCCACTGACCACTGTGCACCGTTACGATAGCAAATGGCAAGTGCCAAAAGCAGACGCACAAAGCTATAGTGGACAACTGCTGGCGCTTTCGGCAACAGCATTGATTCTGACGTTGATGCTGACGTTGACTTTTGCTGCGACGCGACCGACAGCCTTGTGCAACGCAACGCCGCATAACACAGCGTCGCGTCGTTGTATTCACACGTCATCAATGCGGCATTTTAACCATAAATTGTAAATGTAGCCCTCAACTTGGGGCTTGGCTGCTTGATTGCTCGGCTGGTGTGCGCATTATGTGAGGCGCTCGTTTGGTTTGTGTCCCGACTAAGTTTGGCCCGCAACAGCTGTACATAAATGGAAATATATGTCAATATATATAAGTGTAAGCACATATATATATATATATATATATGGCTATACACATACATATGTACATATTATAATTGCTCATTTTGTTTTGCTCAGCATTTTTAGTTTTAAACAGATATTACATCTCTTTCGCTTTGGACGCCTCTATTTCATGTCGTCCACATTGCTTTGCACAGCACTTATATTTGTATGTGTATGTTTGTGTATACTGGTACACATTTTGCCGGCTGTCTAAAGCATTAACTCATATTGCAACTATTGTGGGTGGTCTTTAAAAGCGGGCGGGCGTCTCTGTCTGCGACAATTCAATTGCATTTTCATTTGCTTTCGTGACCATCACTCAACATTTTCGGTATTCTCATGCTGCGCTGGTAATTTTCTTCACCTCAAATGTTCTATGTCAAATATTAATTGAGGCATCAACATGAGCATTTATGTATGTACATATAGGTACTGTGGTATGGTTACCAATTTGACAGTTATTACTACAAAGAGGGAAGGGAAGTGTCCAAGAATACCAATATGATCTCACAGCCAGCTTCAGAGTGGCAAAATTTCACATATTTACCATGAAATAGCTAACTACAGAAAAATTTTAGAAAAATTATAGAAAAATATAGAAAAATTATAATTCTATAAATAAATAAAAATATTGTAAAAAAAACTGAGATCTTATCAGTTTCAGGTCAAGGCCTAGAATATTCAGTTGAACCGAATCCCGTTGATTTTCGAATAAACTCACTGTAGAGGGTAACACGGCATGCTTCCAATAAGCAAAGTTTCAAGGAACTTTGCTAATAAATAGAGTCAAATGTCTCAGTCTTCATATTCAGATACAGAATATTGCTGTTGTAGCCCAGCATGTTAAAGAAACCCCTGGTTAGTCCATTCTTCGTCGTTCTATAGAACGACGTATTCCTCAAACGTCATTATATCATAAAGACTTGGGTCTGAAGACTTATAAAGTTCAATAATTTAAGCCGAACATTCATAGACAACGTCGTATCTTTGCTGTTTTGGTCCTTAAAACGCATGAAAATGAACCAGAATTTCATCGAAAATTCATCTTGACTGATGCTTCGCTTTTCCGTTTAGATGGTTATGCCAATAAGCAAAAGTGTCGCATCTGGAGCTCGGAAAACCGAAGATTTATTATGGAAAATCCCTCGATACGATTTATGTTTCGGCGATGAATGGGTTACAATATCGAGAAATGAATGATCTATTTTTAAATCTATTTAAACGTTTTTGAAAGATAATTTAAAGGGTCTGATCTTTTCAATTCATGTATGGCTCTAATTACATTTGATCATAGATGGACCAAATTTTTATAAAAGTTCGGACTTTTGTTCGAGATTTCATAGAATATTTTAGGCAAAAGTAATTTTTACGTTATACTCCAATGTCTTCTCCCAGTTGATAAAATAATATTTTAACCCAACTCGAATTCTGTAGCGAACTAAAAACCCAAAAAGTTTCCATAAGGCCAACCCCCCCTGGGAGTACCGCAAAGAGAGGCTCGTGGTCAGTAATTTTCGCGAATAATTTTATTCTTTGAAGACCATTTTTAATTTTTTTTTTATTTTTCATACACAGATTTTCTTCTTCAATCTGATTGATTGACCAAATGGTCAGTTGTGAGCAATAAGTGCTTTTGCTACGGCTTCAGCATGAATGCACTTGTGGGTCTTCTTTCTCACATCAGCATGCTCTTACCACCAGAAACAGAACACAAAAGAAGCAACGGTAATTTAATGTTCATTCTGACTCTTCGAAAAACGTTATAGAAGCAAAATATTTGTTGCTGCACAAATTTATGTCAACCGCAATTTTTGTCATTTATGCAGGCTTTTGTGAATTCGTAAATTCGTTACTAAACTAGGCAGTCAGGAGTTCATCATACAGTTGTGTACCATGGTATTCCCAATGGGTTTTCATGTCATGCCTAGACCATTGCCATCGTCAATGCGCAAAATTGTGCTCATAACAAGCGCCTGATGATTAATGTAGCGATTCCCTTGACCTCCATTCTACAATTGCTACATCCCTTCCCCCCCTGACACACACACACACACACACACAAACACGCCCAGTTGCTTGTCGTGTGATGTTGCAAGCAATAAATTTTGGGGTTGCTCGTTGTCGTGTGACGACGCGTAGCGACAATCACAAATCAACTGGTGAAGTAGTCGAAAAGTCACTCAGCCAAGGAACCAGCCAACCAGATAGCCTCCAAAGACCGACAGACCAATGGGCCATGCCATGCCGGCCAAATAGTATTTGCTTGGCTGCGCGATTCCTGATGACGAATCAAGTGTAGCATTTGATGTGATGGTAAAAGGTAAAAGAATACTCACGTACATGTAAATACATGTTTATATTTATGTAAGTAATTCTGTGCAGTCGCAACTGCATTGGATATGTTAACAAAATACACACTTACTATATATATACATATATATTTGCATATTCATGAAATTCTACACTAAACCGCATTGACATCGCGCTAACACTTCCGGTCAATTGCAGCAATTTTCATACCCTCTTCAAATTCCATATCCAGTGGAACGAATCACTTATCATTATAAAATATAGAAGCATGCTCTAAAATGGTTGGGTCGTGAAATATCACGAGGTGCGAGTAGGTAAAGAAATGAGAGTAGCAGTTAAGAGATTGATGGCTTATTATGTTTGTGTCCTCATAATCAGATATTTCTGAGATATAGGGTCCAAAACAAAGGCGTCCTGAACCTTTCTTTGACCACAGAGGGTATAATGTCTTTGCTTCATTATTCAGTGGTGCTTCCAAATGCTGATAAAAGTTTTAAGGCTATTTTATTCTAATTTTTTTATCTTTTTTTTTATTTTAATTAATTTATTTCTTTTTAATTTTATATGTATTTTATTTCATTTTATTTTATTTTATTTTATTTTATTTTATTTTATTTTATTTTATTTTATTTTATTTTATTTTATTTTATTTTATTTTATTTTAATTTATTTTATTATATATATTTATTTCATTGTATTTGGTTCATATTTAAAAATTATTTTTATTATTTCAATTTACTTTATTTTATGCTACTTTATTTACTTTAATCACCAATTTGGTTGTGGCGCTTGTAACTGCGCTGCTTGTGACTGCCAACGATTTCTCGACGCAGCTGCATTCGGCGAGTCAACGAAAAATTCTCACGTGTCTCGAATACCCTCACAACGATTGAGTGAAGCATATGTTAATTTTCTACCAGCGACTATGGACATTACACAGTTATATTTACAGCAAAGGCATTTTCTTATGCTGTCTTTTTACCGTAAATTAACGCATAATTGTGGGGCAAACAAAGTTTTCTATTAAATAGCGGTCGCGCTGTCTTTTCTATGTCTATACCTTGCATTCATTCTGTTTGTAAGGTAATATTATTATTATGTTTGTAAGTATGTACTAATGCGCATATAAATTAGTTTTCGTATGAAAGTAGTTAAGCGTGTACTACGTTTAGTGCTGTCATACGCGGCGTATGCGCAATATTAAATTT